TGCATGTGGCAATGATCGTTCCGCAGGTTCACCTACGGAATCCTTGTTACGGTTTCGCGGGGGGGGGGGGGGGGGCGGGCAGGTGGCAATGGTCGTTCCGCAGGGTCAACTACGGAATCCTTGTTACGGTTTCTCCTCCTTCCTGTAAATGACCAGGTTCAATGAACTTCTGCCGGCAGAGTCAGCTGTGAGCCGCCAAGGTCGACGCACTCCGTCGTGGAAGAGCCACAGCAGCTGGAGCAGCGCCGTCTTGGGGATCACCGAGGGGAAAGGCGCCAACTTGGATGACGAGGGAAAGGCGCCAGCTCGGGTGACGACAGTATCTGGTCACGCTGACCGACCAGGTGCTTGATGGCAGGATAGCAAGAGGGGGAGGGAGGGAGGGAGCTGAGGTCGAGACTCCACTCCGATACCGATTTGACGCATGTGCGGAGGGCACGTGCGGAGATGGTGTGTGTGTGTGTGTGTGTGTGTGTGAGAGAGAGAGAGAGAGAGAGAGAGAGAGAGAGAGAGAGGAGATGGACACACGCGAGAAGCAGCAGCTGAACGTGGGTAGTCACATTGAATGAATGAATGAAATAACTGAATGTGACCCTCCGCCCTAGGCCTAGGCCGAAGTGATATACCGGCCTAGGTCAAGGTATGGAACAACCTGGTACCGGACCAGGGTCAAGCCGACAGCCTGAAACTGGTCCGGCCTCACTGCCGGGCCGTAGGGGTACCGCTACAGGAGATCAGTTCGATGGGGACTTTGGTGGCAAAGGTGCGTCCTGGTGATGGAAGAAGTGCGATAAGAAGGGCCGGAGGTAACCGAACAAATCCAACAGCAACTAAATACGGAAATTTTGAGAAGATGGCAGATGCAGAAATCTCAATTGGACCTCCTACGAACAAACAGAGACATCCAACACGCAATCTCCTCCTTCTGCAAAGATTGGTTAGGAGGAGAGAAAGCGGGATGGATAGCAAAAGTAGATTGGGGAGGGGAGGAGGGGCAGCCAGGGGAACTAGCAGAATGCAGGGACTACCACCTGGTCCTGAATGATTGGACAATCATAGAACCCACCTTCCCGATGCGCCCCCCGTCCGATTTCCCGAACCCCTTACCGCCACACCCGCTTTCCTTAGCAGAGACTATAACAGACTGACAACATTCTGTT